CAACTCTAGACACAGCAGGGACAGCACCAGCACCCTCAGAGGCCGCACCAGCGCCAACAGCACCTCCAGCCGCAGGACCTTCAGCAGCACCAGCAGCACCCGCAGCAGGACCACCGCCAGGACGGACAGCAGTAGTCTCAGCACCAACACCCTCAGCAGCTCTAGCTCCAGTCGGACGCGCAGGCTCAGCAGCTCCGGGACCGGCGGCACCAGCACCCTCAGCGGCCGAAGAAGCGCCAGCTCTAGCAGTACGGCTCCAGCGGCGAGTAAACCACTCGCGCAGCTCCAGTGGAGAGAGGGGCTCCCGCCGAGACAAAGCACCCGGAGAACCTCCAGACTCAGCACCGCCAGACGCCACAAGGGGAGGTCCAGCGACCGCAGGCTCCGCACCTCCAGGCTCAGCAGCTCCAGACGCAGCACCCCGTGGCTCAGCACTCCCATGCTCAGCACCCCCAGGCCCAGCACCCCCAGTCGCAGTACCCCCAGGCTCAGCACCCCCAGTCGCAGCACCCCCAGACTCATCACCCCCAGGCTCAGCACCCACGCGCGCAGCACCCCCAGAGTCAGCACCACCAGGCTCAGCACCCGCAGCAGTACCAGAGTCACCAGCAACCTCGACCGGCTCGACTGCGTCTACCTGGGACACACCTGAAAGGGCAAGACCCTGAGGGGGAAGGGGGTCTACCGGGGGGGGACCTGGCACGAGGAAGTGCGGTGGCGGGGGGAGGGAAGGAGTGCGGTAGGGGAAGAGGCGGTAGAAGAGGACTGACTCGTCGAACGTGACGTCCTGGGAGGACAGAACACGACGAGAGGAGGGGTGGTAGAACTGCCACCCTGGTGCGTCAGGGGGGAAGCCAAGGAAGACACAGGGAGCAGCACGAGGGGACAGCTTGTCCGCAGACAAGTCGCGGACAAACGCCCGAGATCCCCAGACACGGAACGCAGACGCATCGCCGACCTTCCCCGTCCATAGCAGAGCTGGGGAGGTCTCCGGCCGGGAGACCCTGGGGTGAAGGTTGATCTGATGCGCCGCGTACCGAACCGCAAACGGCCACAGAAAATGGGGGGCAGCCGCATGCATCATGGACGTACGAGCGACGTCCATGACCATGCCAATGCGGCGCTCAGCAATCCCATTTTGCTGCGGAGAGTCCGGAAGCGTGAAGGTCTGGCGGATGCCTCGCGCACGACAGAAGGCTCGCAGAACGCCAGAGGAGAACTCTCCGCCTTGGTCAGAGTGCAGACGCAGAACAGGAAAGTCTGTGCCGAAGTTCCTCCTAAGCTGGAGACGAGCTGCGCGGATCCAGTCGATCAACACCGCAGTGACATCACCCTTGCTGCGCAAGGGGAAGACTGTGGTGTAACGCGAGTAGTCGTCAACCACCAGCAGGAAGTAGCGCTCGTGACCCTGTCCACGGACGCGGGCCGGGCCCCACACGTCCAAGTGAAGCGTCTGCAGTGGAGCCTCTGTCGGGGGAAACTGAGAGGAGTGAGGGGCAGCCCGGAGCCTCCCCTCGACACAGGGGACACAGGAAGGACCAGGCCCCGAAGGAAGGGGAGGGAGGGACTGGGGGAGACCAGAGACAAGGACACGAGAGGCCATGCCCCGAAGACGAGGCAGGGAGGGGTGACCAAGACGGTGGTGCCACAGGAGAGTCTCGTGAGACAGGAGGCGACACGAGCAGGGGGCAGACTCAGGACCAGACCTGGACGCAGCAGCAAACACCTGACCCGACGCAGCTACCTGGCCAGACGCAGAGTTAGGAGGAGACTCAGTGGTCAGGGTGTAGAGACTCGACCCCGGCTTGCGTGAAAACGTGGCCAGGTGTCGGCCTGTGCGGGCATCCGAGCAGTGGGTCACCCGCTGACTCGCAGGAGTGAACTGGTGAACCCCCGCATCCTGCAGGTCAGCACCACTCACCAAGTTCGTCGAGAACGAGGGGAGGTACAGACCAAACAAGGTACCCGAGGGGGCAGCCGGACACGGGAGGACTGTGGAGAAGTGAGAGAGGACAGGACCCCTAGAGGGGTCAGCCAGGGAGACTGCAACCGGCCGACCAAGCGGCGTGAGTGTGGTGCGGTCTCGAAAGAAGGAGCGAGAAGCCCCCGAGTCAAGCGTGAAGGTGAGGGAGGCCGAAGCCGACGCGGTACCTGAGAGCGCAGCCTCCCAAGTACCTGAGGGCGCAGACGCGGTGGCACCTAGAGCAGCAGCCTCACAAGCACCTAGCGCAACAGTACCTATGCCCGGGTCGGGCGGGAAACACCGGTAACAGTCACCCTCATCACTAATAGTCACAGCATACATGGCAGCAAGGATAGCATCAAAGTCAAGATCATAGATAGCTACGCCTGCCCTAGACAGCTCTCCCCAGCGGGGGATCTCACTAGCCTCGGGGAACTGCTGACGCCAAGCGTCCGTCAGGCGGCCAAAGCAGCGCTGGGTGGGGTGGGCACCCCCACACTGCTCACCCGCGCGATCGCCGGAGCGAAGGACGTAGGTGCACGGACCAAAACCCCCACCACGCTGACGCTGCGTGTACCACTCACGGAGCTGCTGAGGGGGGGGGATGTCCCGAGAACGCTGCTGCTGCTGCTGCTGCTGCTGCTGGCGCTGACCACCACCAGAGCCGCTCCGCTGCGAGGCACCACCCTGACCAGCTCCACCTCCTCCGCCACCGCCGCCTCCACCGCCGCCACCACCGCCACCTCCGCTCCCACCGCTACCGCCGCCACCGCCTCCGCCTCCACTGCCGCCACCACCATAACCACCTCCGCCACCACTCCCACCGCCACCCCCACTCCCTCCGCCGCCTCCACCGCCACCTCCACCACCCCCGCTAGCTCCACCCGCGCCCTTGCCCCCCTTGCCCTTGCCAGAGCGGCGTCTCCCGCTATGGGCAGACGCCGCACCGACCGACTCAAGACCAAGTAGGTCGGCCGCAGCAGCAGAGGCGATAGAGGGCAACAGGGGGGAAGGGGAACACCCCTCAAAGATGGGGGTGCGAGGGTCACCACGAGAGGCTCCTACAGCGACTATGCTCTTCTCCGCTGCTAGGAGGGCCTTCTCTAGGAGGTCAACAGTGAGAGTGGTGGGACAGACTGAGAGAAAGTGGTCCCTGACTACGCGAAGGGAGTCAGGGAGGCGGGTGACTATGTAATAGAGAGTGATGTACATGGGGGGGGGGGGTTCTTGGCGCAGAACTCAGCAGGCAGCGCGGCGCGGTAGCGAGTGTCACTAGTGCGGAGGTGCGTAATGAGGTCAGCAACTGTGGGAAATGCAGCAAGGTCAGGGAAGAGGTACGGTAGCATGAGGCGGCTCAGTGCAGCAGTGGCAGGGGAAGAGTAGCGCGCAAATACAGCGTCGTACAAGGTCTGAGCACTCTTGTACTGACTAAAGTGCGCGGGCTCAGTGGTAGGCAGGTGGCGACGCACAGCAAGACGTGCAGCAGCATCGCGGGTGGCCCACTGAGAGCGAACAGTGGGGTCAGCATCAGCAGTAGGGGCAGGAGAGGCGTCAGAGGTGATGCCAAAGAGAGAAAGACCGTCCGCCCTATGGCTCTGTAAGAACAGCTGCATGTCGTCGACCCAGACCTCAAAGTCAATGGCTCGACCCTCAGCGTCAAAAGCGAGGACACTAGGGGTAGCCATGACGACGGTAGACTAGCAGTGCAAGCAGTAGGGGAAGGGCACGCAGTGACGGAGAGGCTGTGCTCACCGGACAGGGCTGCTCGGGCGGCTCAACTGTAGGGCGGCTCGGCGGCTGGGCGGCTCGGCTGCTGGGCGGCTCGGCGGCTCGGCTGCGGGGCGGCTTGGCTGCTGGGCGGCTCGGCGGCTCGGCGGCTGGGCGGCTCGGCGGCTGGGCGGCTCGGCTGCATGGCGGCTCTGCTGGTGGGCGGCCGGGCGGCTCGGCGGCAGGGCGGCTCGGCTCCTCTGATACCGGGCGGCGCGGCGGTCGGCGGCTCGGGCGCGCTGCTGCAGGAGGGGAGAGCAGCGGGGCCGCAGCAGACGGGTGGCGGGGCCGCAAACGTAGGGCGGCGGGGCCGCTGAAGTAGGGCGGCGGGGCCCGTTGAAGTAGGGCGGCGGGGCCGCGAAGTTGGGGCGGCGGGGCCGCGAAGTGGGGCGGCGGGGCCGCAGCAGACGGGCGGCGGGGCCGTTGAAGAAGGGCGGCGGGGCCGCGAAGTGGGGCGGCGGGGCCGCAGCAGACGGGCGGCGGGGCCGCTGAAGCAGGGCGGCGGGGCCGCGAAGTGGGGCGGCGGGGCCGCGAAGTGGGGCGGCGGGGCTGCTGAACAGGGCGGCGGGGCCCGTGAAGTAGGGCGGCAGGGCCGCAGGAGTAGGGTGGCGAGGCCGTAGAGTAGGGCGGCAGGGCCGCGACGTAGGGCGGCGGGGCCGCGAAGTAGGGCGGCGGGGCCGTAGGAGTAGGGCGGCGAGGCCGCAGTTAGGGCGGCGGGGTCGCGACGTAGGGCGGCGGGGCCGCGAATGCGGGTGGCGGGGCCACGCTAGTAGGTGGCGGGGCCGCACGAACGGGCGACGGGGCCGCTAAGGTAGGGAGGGCCGCTAGGGCGTAGGGGCCGCTAGGGCAGCTCGACGAGGTGAGAGCGCGACTCGGGCGGAGCGCGCTTCGGGCAGGAAAAAAAAAAATTCGAAATTTGGTGGGCCCTAGGCACAGTTCCCACAGGGGAACCTGCTCGATACCATGAGAAAATGAGAACGAGAATGAATGAACTATGAATGAACTGAGTACAAGTACTAACCCTAATTGGGTTGTACCCCTTGTGGGCTACCCCACTATAGCCTACACAATATGCAAAAGCTATATGTTCTGACAAATGCGCCCAAAAGAGAACATGCATCACAAAACAGACCCTGCCAACCCAACTCAACTAGGGTCTTGGGCGAGAAACAGGCAGTGCGAAAGCTATGGACGAGCTTCGCACAACACCATAAAGAGTGATTGGAAAATCAGTTCCAATCACTCTTCCACCCCAACACCGAGGCTCGAAATGGCTCGTCTTTACCACCGAGCTCAGCTGCCCCTGCATATCAAGCGCGCCATATGCGCGCACCACGTCGAACACCCCCAGCTGCGCCACGTTGACCTCGCACGATGGTGCTTCACTCGTTTCAAAATCTGCCCCGACCGCTCAACCATCAGGCGCGTCCTGAAAAGTGCTGACCGCTGGGCTATCGATGACACCAATGACAACGCCGTGCGTGTGCGCGGCGGCGCGTATCCGGAGCTTGAGCGCGCCATGGCACGGTGGATAGCCAGGGCGGGGCCAGCTGGGGTGCCTCTCACCCTTGCGACTATTCGGGACCATGTCGCCTACATGGCCCGCGAGAACGGTCTGCCGGCTACGTTTCGTTGCTCCATCGGCTGGGTGCGTCGCGCATTACGCCGCCAGGGCGTGAGATGCTTGAGCGCGGTTGGCGAGGAGGCCGACCAGGACATGACGGCCGTGCGCACCACGCAGGAGAAGCTGCCGCAGCTCCTTATGCATTTGAACGTGAGGCCGCGCAACACCTTCAATTTTGACGAGACGGCCCTCTACATTTCCGTTCTGCCGCGGAAGACCTACGGCACGGGCCGTGTTGCGGGCAGGAAGAATGGCAAAGAGAGGCTCACCGTCGGCTTCCTCGTCAACGCCGACGGCTCTACCTTGTTCCGCCCTCTCGTGATCTCCAAGGCCCGGCGCCTGCACGACTTCCGCCCCGACTACGACCCGGAGGAGTTGTGCTACTGGCGCAACACTGCCAAGGGGTGGATGACTACCGCGGTAAGTTCCATCGTGGAGGCCGCCAGTGTTGAAAGCCGCATTCACACCCTGCCCGTGTTATACACTCTCACTGAATCTTTATGTCCCACTCATTTCTGTTCACCATCACCCACCTTCCCCCCCGCAGCTCTTCACACACTACATCGAGCAGCTGGATGCGGCTATGTTTGCGGAGGGGCGGCAGATCGTGATACTGCTCGACAATGCCAGCACTCACACGCTGTGTGAAAATGAACGAGAATGAATTGACTAAGGGAAAGTTGGGTACAAGTACAAACCCTTGAAAGTCATACCCCATATGTGCTACCCCACTATAGCCTACAACAGCTATGTCATATAAATCTGACACACCCCCATAGGTAAAGTGGGGGAGAACAAGAGGTCACAAGACCAGTCAAGCAAAGCAAAGCAAGCTCAGGGTGCATCACAAAGTCACCACACATTCCGAGCACAAGTTCATGTCAAACATTATATATGTTGTGCTTGTTTAGGCTACAGTGGGTTAGACTATAGGGGGTACACAATTCTAGGGTTAGGTACTTGTACTGATTTCACTGTTAGTTCAATCATTCCTGTTCGTTCATTTCAACATGGTATAGAGCACGTCCTTCGCTAGGACCGTTTTTTTCAGGGCCATGTGCTCTTCGCTGCAGCCATGTGCTCTGGTCGGTGTCTCCCAGGAGCAACATAGCGTGCCAGAATGCTAAGAGGGTATGCAAGGTCAGGCCGTGTGCAGGTCATCAGGTACATGAGGCAGCCAACAAGCTCTGGGTACAAGCCACTCGGCTCTACGGACTCATCCGAAGGCAGAGCTGAGAGCGAGTGGCGAGTAGGCAGAGGAGTGGCCTGAGGCGAGGAGTACGTGAAGCCGAAGCGCTGAAGGACCTGCTGCACCCCCAACGGACGGAGGACAGACAGACTCCGACTCAGCGACAAGACTAGCAGCGTAGTCTAGACGACAGCGAGCAGCAAAGTCGACGAGCTCAGCAACTAGGGCAGACGCAGCAATGGACTCAAAGGAAGGGTCAGTGACGACAGTAGCAAAGAGATGCGTGACAGTAGGACTGACAGCACGAAGAGAGTCCGACTCCGGGTCGGCAAGAGCAGGAAGAGAGGACTCAGGAGGAGAAGGCAAAGGGGCACGCAGAGGAGCAGTGGACGGACGCAGAGACATCCGGTGCGTGCCAGGGACAGGAGGAGGACGCTGACGCGAACCACGACCACTAGTGCGAGTAGGACGAACAGGCGACGCAGGGCGAGACGCAGGCTCACGACGCTCAGCAAGACCTCCAGTAGGACCAGTGTAAGGAGAAGGAGCAGGCAGTGGGGAGGCCGGCTGGAACTGTAACTGTGACGGGACAGGCTGTAGACACTCTAAGGGAGGAGGAGGACCGGTAGAAGGCGGAAGACCAAGAACCTGCTGAAGGAGCGGAACGAAGTACGGCCGAGGCCGCGCGGTGACTCCAGACACAGCAGGGACAGCACCAGTACCCCAAGTGGTAGCACCACCGCCAGCAGCACCTCCAGCTCCAGCACCCCAAGCAGCTCCAGAAGCTCCAGGACCTCCAGCAGCACTAGTAGCACCCCCAGCAGGACCGCCTCTAGGACTGTCAGTAGTAGCCTCAGCGCTAACACCCTCAGCAGCTCCAGCTCCAGTCGTACCCGCAAGCCCAGCAGCTCCAGTACTCCCAGTACGAGCACCTCCAGGACCCGCGACACCAGCACCCTCAGTAGCCAAAGAACCTCCAGCTCCAGCAGCACGGCTCCAGCGCCGGGCAAACCACTCACGTAGCTCCTGTGGAGAGAGTGGCTCCCGCCGAGACGAAGCACCCGGAGAACCTCCAGGCACAGTACCGCCAGACGCGACACGAGCAGGCCCAACTCCCCCAGGCTCCGCACCCCCAGGCTCAGCACCTCCAGGCGTAGCACCCCCAGGCTCAGCACCCCCAGGCGTAGCACCCCCAGGCTCAGCACCCCCAGGCGTAGCACCCCAAGGCTCAGCACCCCCAGGCGTAGCACCCCCAGTAGTAGCACCCTCAGGCTCAGCACCCCCAGGCGTAGCACCCACACGCTCAGCATACCCAAATCAGCACCCCCAGGCTCAGCACCCTCAGCAGCACCAGAGTCACCAGCAACCTCGACAGGCTCGACTGCGTCTACCTGGGACACACCTGAAGGGGCTGGACCCTGAGGGGGGAGGGGGTCTACCGGGGGGGGACCTGGCACAAGGAAGAGCGGTGGCGGGGGGAGGGACGGAGTGCGGTAGGGGAAGAGGCGGTAGTAGGGGACCAACTCGTCAAACGTGACGTCCTGGGAGGACAGAAGACGACAAGAGGTGGGGTGGTAGAACTGCCACCCAAGCGCATCAGGGGGGAAGCCAAGGAAGACGCAAGGAGCAGCACGAGGGGACAGCTTGTCCGCAGACAAGTCGCGGACAAACGCCCGAGATCCCCAGACACGGAACGCAGACGCATCGCCAACCTTCCCGGTCCACAGCAAAGCTGGGGAGGTCTCCGGCATGGAGACCCTGGGCTGAAGGTTGATCTGATGCGCCGCGTACCGAACCGCAAACGGCCACAGAAAATGGGGGGCAGCCGCATGCATCATGGACGTACGGGCGACGTCCATGACCATGCCAATGCGGCGCTCAGCAATCCCATTTTGCTGCGGAGAGTCTGGAAGCGTGAAGGTCTGGCGGATGCCTCGTGCACGACAGTAGGCTCGCAGAAGGCCAGAGGAGAACTCTCCGCCTCTGTCAGAGTGCAGACGCAGAACAGGAAAGTCCGAGCCGAAGCTCTGCCTGAGCTGGAGACGAGCTGCGCGGATCCAGTCGATCAACACCTCAGTGACATCACCCTTGCTGCGCAAGGGGAAGAATGTGGTGTAACGCGAGTAGTCGTCAACCACCAGCAGGAAGTAGCGCTCGTGACCCTGTCCACGGACGCGGGCTGGGCCCCACACGTCCATGAAAAGCGTCTGCAGCAGGGCCTCTGTTGGAGGAAACTGGGAGGAGTGAGGGGCAACACGCTGCTGCCCCTCGACGCAGGGGACGCAGGCACGGGCAGGCCCCGGGGGAAGGTGAGGGAGGGAGCGAGGAAAACCAGAGACAAGGACACGGGAGGCCATGCCTCGGAGACGAAGCAGGGAGGGGTGACCAAGGCGGTGGTGCCAGAGGAGAGTCTCGTGAGACAGGAGGCGACACGAGCAGGGGGCAGACTCAGGACCAGACCTGGACGCTGCAGCAAACACCTGACCCGACGCAGCTACCTGACCAGACGCAGTGACAGGAGGAGACTCAGTGGTCAGTGTGTATAGGCTCGACCCCGGCCGACGTGTAAACGTGGCCAGGTGTCGGCCTGTCCGAGCGTCCGTTCAGTGGGTCACCCGCTGACTCGCAGGAGTGAACTCGTGAACCCCCGCATCCTGTAAGTCAGCACCACTCACCAAGTTCGTAGAGAACGAGGGGAGGTAAAGACCAGACAGGGTGCCAGAGGGGGCCGCCGGACACGGGAGGACAGTGGAGAAGTGAGCAAGGTCAGGACCCCCAGAGGGGTCTGCCAGAGAGACTGCAACTGGCCGACCAAGCGGCGTGAGTGTGGTGCGGTCTCGAAAGAAGGAGCGAGAAGCCCCCGAGTCAAGGGTGAAGGTGTGGGAGGCCGAAGCCGACGCGATACCTGAGAGAGCAGACTCACCAGCACCTGAGGAAGCAGACGCACTGGCACCTAGAGCAACAGCCTCGCTTGCACCTAGAGCAGTAGCCTCACCAGTACCTAGAGCAGCAGTCTCAATGCCCGGGTCGGGCGGAAAGCACCGGTAACAGTCACCCTCATCACTAATAGTCACAGCATACATGGCAGCAAGAATAGCATCAAATTCAAGGTCAAAGATAGCTACTCCCGCCCTAGACAGCTCGCCCCAGCGATGGATCTCAGTGGCCTCAGGGAACTGGTGACGCCAAGCATCCGTAAGGCGGCCAAAGCAGCGCTGGGTGGAGTGCGCACCCCCGCACTGCTCACCCGCGCGGTCGCCGGTGCGTAGAACGTAGGTGCACGGACCAGTACCCCCACCCCGCTGGCGTGCAGTGTACCACTCACGGAGCTACTGAGGGGGGGTGATGTCACAAGTGCGCTGCTGCTGCTGCTGGCGCTGACCACCACCGGAGCCGACCCTCTGCGCAGCGCCACTCCGACCAGCCCCGCCGCCTCCGCCGCCGCCTCCTCCTCCGCGGCCACCTCCGCCACCTCAGCCCCCACCGCCACCGCCGCCTCCGCCTCCGCCTTCACTACCGCCACCGACACCTCCACCCTTGCCACCACTCCCACCACCACCCCCACCCCCTCCACTGCCGCCACCGCCACCTCCGCCACCCACTCCAGCCCCTCCAGCACCCTTGCCCCCCTTGCCCTTGCCGGTGCGGCGTCTCCCGCTCGGGGCAGACGCAGCGCCGACCGACTCGAAACCAACGAGGTCGGCCGCAGCAGCAGAGGCAACAGAGGGCAAAAGGGGGGAGGGGGAACACCCCTCAAAGACGGGGGTGCGAGGGTCACCACGAGAGGCTCCTACAGCGACTATGCTCTTCTCTGCCGCTAGGAGGGCCTTCTTGAGGAGGTCAACGGTGAGAGTGGTGGGGCAAACTGAGAGGAAGTGGTCCCTAACTACGCGGAGAGAGTCAGGGAGCCAGGTGACTATGTAGTAGAGGGTGATGTACATGGGGGGGGGGTTCTTGGCACAGAATTCAGCAGGAAGCGCAGCGCGGTAGCGAGTGTCACTAGTGCGGAGGTGCGTAATGAGGTCAGCAATCGTGGGAAAGGCAGCAAGGTCAGGGAAGAGGTACGGTAGCATGAGGCGGCTTAGTGCAGCAGTGGCAGGGGAGGAGTAGCGTGCAACTACAGCGGCGTACAAGGTCTGAGCACTCTTGTACTAGCTAAAGTGTGCACGCTCAGAGGTAGGCAGGTGGCGACGCACAGCAAGACGTGCAGCAGCATCGCGTGTGGCCCACTGTGAGCGAACAGTGGCGTCAGCATCAGCAGCAGGGGCAGGAGAGGCACCAGAAGTGAGGTCAAAGAGGGAGAGACCGTCTGCCCTATCGCACTGTAGGAAAAACTGCAGGTCATCGACCCAAACGTCAAAGTCAATGGCCCGACCCTCAGCGTCAAAAGCGAGGACACTAGGGGTAGCCATGACAGCAGTAGACTAGCAGCGCGAACAGTAGGGTAAGGGCAGTGTTGTGATAGCGGCGCTGCT